CGGCGGGAAAGGAGAGAGACGAAGATATACGAAGACAGGCGGCGGAGACGAAGAGAGACGGCGATTGAAGTAAAGTGACAGACAAACATTGAGAATTTAGATATAGTTAGATAGATTTAGAGTTTTGAAGATTCAACTATGATGAAGAGAACTCTGAACGTGAGTCAAGCTCTAAGCTTGTTTTTTGACATGAGGAGGATGAGGAGGAAGAGGGAGGAGGAGGGGAGAGGGAGGGAGGAGGAGGAGGAGAGGAGGAGCCTGTGATGTTGCCCTCTGTGTCGTAGTTGACAGAAACTGCTTTGAAGCGTGGCACAGATAAAGACAGACAAAAATGATTTTTGTACATAATGTGTATATATATTGTATTATATTTATAATAACACTTTTGCCTTATCAGAATGAAATCCCATGTACATTATTTAAGCTTTTAAATGTGTTGTTGTGCCTACTGTGTCACTGTTGACAGAACTTGAGAAATGAGGAAAAAACGCCTATGGATACACCTGTTATTTGTTCATCAAATGTGTAGGTTCATGCTACCTCAATCAAACTTTCACATTATCATAGTGACATCACATGTATATATTTCCAGCTTTCAAATGGTTTCGTTATGCATGTTTGTGTATAAAAAATAATATCATTTTCAAAATCCGTTTTTACGTTTTTCTGTGATTTTGGGTCCAAAATGTTCATATAGTATCTCAAAATGAAAAAAAAGAACTATCAGGATATATAGGTGAGGTTGTCCTTAAAAAAAAGATACCAAACATTGACATGCCATACATTTCTTAATGGGGTTTTGTAAGACAAATCAAAAGTATGTGAAAACGGCCAAATTAGCCCAGGACTCCAAAGGGTTACGGGGGACATTTGTGCCATATTTGACAAAATTCCACCAAGCCATGAAAGTTGGATGGATTTTGGACGGCCTGAATCAGTCTTGGGACATTTGTACATTTGTTCCATGTCACAACAATCTCTCTCCCATCATCTAATAGAGGTGAACATTGCCCCAAAACAATACATAATAAATGAACAGAATAAAATAAAAATGTATATGCCCAAAGGAAATTCCTAAGATGAAATATTTGTAATATGTATTTATTATGTAAAATAATGACTCAAATGTTTCTAGATTTCCAGCTATTTTCAGGGATGTTCCGGTTTATTTTCTTATCAAGTAGCTGTTCACGGCTACGTTATATACTTTGAGTTGACCTCATATAAAGAGACCTGAGACAGGATACAAACAGAGATGATAGTGCTAGATTATTCATAAATAAAAAATACACTTGATTCATAGATGTCATGTGTATTAGCCTGCTGTCCAACAATGATGATGATCAAAGTCCACTCACCATGAGATGCATAGAGAGAGTTGTTCACCATGGAGTGACCGTTCACTGGACCCATCAGACCAGAGGAGCTGTCGAATGAGCGATTGGGTGACACCCCAAGTTGATCCTAAAACAGGGAGGAAACAATAACGAATATCAGAAACAGACAGACAGATAATGGACACAACATTGTTTTAAAGTAAGCAAATGCAGCCACGTAAAAATGTGTTGTTAACATGTTTAATAGTTTAGGAAAAATACATTTCTGTTCAACCCCACGAAGGCTCTAAAGACATTGCACTTCCTTCAACACCAAAACATTTTGAATGTATTTATTTTAATTCAAATTATAAGATTTTACACAACTAAAAAACATCTGCCTTGTAAATATCTAATCGCTTCTGTATATCATCCGTTCATTTGTTTCAGAACCTCATACGTTAAAACATAAAAACACAAGTTCAAGCCTATATTAACTTGATGACATCCTCACTTCCATAGCAACAGAAGCCATTATACAAGAGTTTTCACAAGCTTGTTTTTTTAGATGAATCTTTATTCATGTTTGATGTCATTTGCATTCAAATGACCAGAAAAGCAGCTGAGTGCTCTGTAGCAGTGCATTGCAACTCAATCAGATGTTGAGCATGTAGAAAGAAAGAGAAGAAGAGGGAGACACGAGAGAGACGCGGAGGATCAAGGTGAGAGAGGGGAGCTTATTTCCCATGGCCTTCAGGCTTGTAACTGTCTTTACCAGGGCTTCCTGTGTGTGTGGCAGTGACACTCACACTGACACCCCCCCCCCTCTTAGTCCCCTGTAATAATGTGTCCCTTTGTGCATGTATTATTCATTTAGGAATTGAATTTGCATGTCTTTGTCTCCTGTGTGGAAACTGTACGTAGTCATTAACATGAATGCATATGTATGGCGCTCTGGCTGTGTTTTCTCTGTTTAGACTCAAACAGGAGAAGACATGACAGCGCTGTGTGCGTAATAAATCCTTTCCGTCATCTTTCTCTTGACCCCCCACCGAGTGCCAGCCCCTGCTCCCCAATTTCAAGCCCAGGCTTCATCACTCTTCAGAGTGTCAGAGGTCCTGTGGACCCCCTCCCCTCCCCACTGTCTCCCAGTACACATCCCAGTTGCATAGTGCAATCAGATTGCTCTTGAAAAAGATAAGGTTTATTTTCAATGAAGATGTTATTGAGGCAAAACGTAGTTTCTAGTTACAGTTAAATGTTAGGAACAATTCTACAAAACATAAAACTGAATCTGGTTTTACGTTTGGGTTGCTCTTTTCCCATAAAGAATCAGAATATTTTATTTATAGTTTATTATATTTGTTTTGTGGCAGTTTTTCCATTTTGGAATGAAATAAAAATACAAAGACAAATTAAAATAAAATATGTACAAAGAAACACAATAAGTCAAAATAAAATATTGCAATTAGAGAATGAACTAACACAACAAATAGGTTTATTAGTCAAGTAAGAAGTTAATTAAAATTAATATGTTAATATGTGTATTTGATCATATATTGTTGTCTGTGCTGTCACAATGGATTGTGTCTTTAATCTGCAAACCAAATGCACCTTTGTGTGAAAATAAATAACCTGAACCTGAATATATAAAGTGGTATGTACGTTGTAAAAAATATATTACTGATGAAAATCAGATGAATGCTTGAAATGTACATTTTAACACAGTATTAATCCTAAGTGTTATTAGTATTGCACAGTAGAATAACTGCAGGTTATGCAGACTAAGTATTGTTGGTGTTGAACAGTTTATTATGGTGGAGTAAGCCTAATGTGTCAGAGTGCTTGAAGGTAAGGAAGGAGTTAAGGAGTTTAATTACATGTCAAAAGTTAAGTATAAAGTCTTATATTTATAGAAAATGTTTTCATGTCAAGGATGTTAAAGTATATTTTCAGAATGAGAGATCAACTAAATCTAAATAGCTGAATATGTGATGTGATGTATTGATCACTGGGAAACTATTTACAAAGTGGCATTATCAAGCCATTATTGTGTATCAGCAATGTAGGTATTGTGACAGTACCACAGCGAGCAGCTTCAGGTTCAGGAACCTCTGCTGAGCCATGCTTATTTAGCTTGGAGATATAGGGTATTTGGGCAGTTAGTGAATAAAGAGAGCAGCTTGCATAATGAAGTGAGAGTTTAGAGAAAGGAGAGATGGCTGGGAGAGGAATACAGTATGAAGAACTGAGTGAGAGACAGGGCAAAGGACATAGAGAAGAAAAAAGGAGAGTAGAGTGGTCCACTTCTGAAATGTTAAAAGCATCAATACTGAAGCCAAAAAAGCCTTTTAAAAGGCATCGTCTCTTACAGTATATCTGCCTTTGTCTTCCTCTCTTTTTATCCTTCTTTCATCTCTTAACAGGATGCTACTCTTTGTGTGTTGCTAACAGCTTTCCACCCATCAAGCTAGTTGACAGGCTTGCCCTGCAAGCCACACCACTTCACATGTAGCGAGCACATGGGCCACAATTATCTGAAAGTAATGCTGTTTATTACAAATGCATTGCAATCAATCTTAATGACAGTTTATCATTTGAAAGAAGCTATAGATCGTGGGGCTTTTGAACTATTTAGTTCAAAACATTGTTCAAATGTATATCAATTAATTTCAATCAGAAGAGATTACTAAATGAGCATTTCATGTTTACTGTGTATACATTTTGTATTCAATTTTCTCGTAATTTGTATTAGACATTTTACTTAGTTTTCTTAAATATGATATATTATGAATATTATACATTTGACAAAAAGTTATTCTTACACCAATTTATTGTGTTTGCATACATATTTAATTGATTTTTTATATTATTATTATTTTAGTTTTATTCTTAAATGGATCAACTGTCAAGAAACCCATTTTCCTGGGAGATAAAACATTCAGATTATTCAATCAGCCAAATACTGGTACTTTTTTAAAGTGTGTTTTTATTTGTGTGTACCTATATGTCTGTTTGTTGTGCTTATGTGTACATATTTTAAGCAGGCACTGTACGTATCTTTTTTCCCCACTACAAGCAGGCCATGCAGAGGGCCGTTCACACTTGAACCAACAACCCAGCTTTGTGTGTGCAAAGGTTTGTACAAATATTCTACAGAGCCATGTAAAAGGCACCAGCTGAAAAGCGCCTTTCTCTACTAGAAAAAATATAGAGTGAAGAACACTCAGTCACACACAAAGAAGCACACAGACACAATCTGAATAGCTGGAGTGTAAATGCTCTTTTGCTGCTGCTGCTGCTGCTGCTGCTGCTGGTAAGTGCAGGGTGACTCGTGTCAAGTATGTGAAGAATGGATGGAAGGGCTAAAAAGTCAGAGGCAGTAGACTGCAAGAAAGAAAGATGCTTTCAGTGTTCAGAGCCAGAAGAGGGGATAGAGATCGCAAGGGGAAGATAGAAGAAGACATGCATGTTTGTTTTCGTCTTAGTGAAGCAACAGTGGCGAGCATGGGCTCTCATTGTCACAGGCAGGGGGTCCTAACCTAGATTCTGGATGTTTTCACAATATAAAAAAGAGAAACCAAAGTATATTAAGAACACTTTTTAATGGCAGTTTGTGTTTTACTATCCATTTTAGTCTCCAAATACAATGTTTATTTTTGTTTATTACTTTGTGTTTTTACATGTTATGACATTCACCAGAGCAAAGTGAAAATGAACACATACAATAGACTATTTCATAAAGATGTGGGTCCATAACATTTCAGTAAAGGTATTTTGTAAGGCAAGGCAAGGTAAGTTTATTTATATAGCACTTTTCAACACAAGGCAATTCAAAGTGCTTTACAAAAAATGAAAGAGATTAAGAAAATGGCATTTAAAATCAGTCATTAAAAAGAAAAGCTAATAAAATAAACATTAAAAGAAAAAAATACATGGCAGTCAATTAAACATTAAAAGAAAAAAGTACATGGATAAAAGTTACAGTGCAGTCTAAGATATGAATAGTTCAATTAAAAGCAGCTGCAAAAAGAAAAGTCTTCAGCCTGGATTTAAAAGTAGTCAGAGTTGCAGCGGACCTGCAGGTTTCTGGGAGTTTGTTCCAGATATTTGGAGCATAATAACTGAACGCTGCTTTACCATGTTTAGTTCTGACTCTGGGGACAGAAAGCTGACCAGTCCCTGAAGACCTGAGAGATCTGGATGGTTCATAATTTAGCAGGAGGTCAGAAATGTATTTTGGGCCTAAACCATTCAGTGCTTTATAAACCAGCAGCAGTATTTTGAAATCTATTCTTTGACACACAGGAAGCCAGTGTAAAGACTTCAGAACAGGAGTGATGTGATCCACTTTCTTAGTGTTAGTGAGGACTTGAGCAGCGGCGTTCTGAATCAGCTGCAGCTTTCTAATAGATTTTTTAGTGAGACCTGTGAAGACACCATTACAGTAGTTGAGTCTACTGAAGATAAAAGCATGGACAAGTTTTTCCAAATCCTGCTGTGACATTAGTCTTTTTATCCTAGATATGTTCTTTAGGTGACAGTAGGCTGATTTAGTAACTGTTTTAATGTGACTGTTGAAACTCAGGTCAGAGTCCATGACTACACCTAGATTTCTGGCTTTATCTGTTGTTTTGAACATTGCAGACTGAAGCTCAGCGCTAACTTTTATACGTTCTGACTTGGCTCCAAAAACCATTACCTCAGTTTTATCTTTGTTTAATTGGAGAAAGTTCTGACACATCCAGTCATTGATTTGTTCAATGCACTTACTCAGTGTTGAATTGGAGCATAGTCTCCTGGTGAAATTGTTACGTACATTGTGTGTCATCCGCATAGCTATGGTAACTTATTTGTTGTTCTTCATTATCTGAGCCAGTGGTAGCATGTAGATGTTAAAGAGAAGAGGCCCCAAGATGGAGCCTTGAGGAACCCCACATGTCATATTTGTCAACTCAGATGTGTATTTACCTATAGAAACAAAGTTGTTTCTGTCCTTTATGTAGGATTCAAACCAATTTAGAACTGTTTCCGAAAGTCCCACCCAGTTTTCTAGTCGGTCTAGTAATATATTGTGGTCAACAGTGTCAAACGCAGCAATGAGATCTAATAATACTAACACTGAAGTTCTGCCACTGTCTGTGTTTAAGTGGATGTCATTAAAGACCTTTACAAGAGCAGTCTCAGTGCTGTGGTTTGGACGAAAGGCCTGACTGGAACACATCCAAACAGTTATTTAAATGCAAGAAATTACTCAACTGTTGAAAAACAAACTTTTTCAATGATTTTACCTAGAAATGGCAGGTTTGATATGGGCCTGTAATTGTTCATTACTGAAGCATCTAGATTATTCTTTTTAAGAGCGGTTTAATGACTGCAGTTTTCAGGGCCTGTGGAAAAATACCTGAGTGAAGAGATTTGTTTACTATATGAAGTAGATCTGAGGCCATGCAAGGCAAAACATCTTTGAAAAATCCTGTTGGAATAATATCAAGGCAGCAGGAGGAGGATTTCAGAAGTTGAATAATGTCCTCTAGGTTTTTATCATTAATCTGATGGAATTGTGTCATGATGTCTGAATAAATAAGTAAGGCTGCTCTTGTATTCATGTTACACCCCTGAGTCAATGTGTCATTAGTTTAAGTGTGTGTGGTTGTGTGTGTACCTTCAGAGCCCTCAGCACCACCAGTTGGATCATCCCTCTAACGTTTCCCTCCTGTGACATAGAGCGGCGGAGCGTCTCCATGGCCACGTGATTGGAGCGCCCTAGCAACGACTCTCCGTTTACTGCCATCATCTGGTCGTTGACGTGCAGTCGACCATCCTGTAAAACACACACATCAGGCGGATTAAACAAAATCTGCATTCTCAGTGAACTGGAATATAGAACTATGCATTTTATGAAGGTCTGTGTATCTGTCTGTTAATAACCATGTACATGTTTGTCCTTTGCCAAGGCTCAGTTTGTCTTTCTGTCGACAAAATAATGACCCTATTTTCATGAAACTTAGGAGAAGGGTACACATAGGGTACACATAGGGCGAAAAAGTAAAAACTAGATTTTTGGAGCAGATCACAATCAAGGGTGGATAAATAAATGATTGTTAACTTTGGTGAAATGTACCACATTTGGAGACTGGGCCAGAGTTGCCTGCATTGGCTCTTGACGTCTCAAGCAAACATGGAGGTGGCTGAGCCAAAACGGCAACGGCTAACAGTGCTAATGGTGCTAACAAGGCTGATTGACATAAAAGTGCTAGCAACACTGCTGACAAAGCTAACCTAGGAGGGGGCCATACCAGCATAACATACATGACATGACATACATGACATGACATAAATAACGGCACCAACCAACAACACAAACAGACACACACAAACACAGACACACAAACACACACAGACAGAGACTAGCATCAGCTCCGTCTGTCTGACTTCCCTTGTGTAGAATGTATGCCTCTACAGAGAACCTGTTTCCATCTATTATTGTCCGTCTGCACACACATACTAAACACTGTGAACCCAAACATGTATGTGAGTGCATGTGTCTGTCTGTCTCTCTGCTGTCCACGACATGTCAAGTGTGTCCTGGTGAGTAAGAGGTCAAAGGTTAACCGAACAGGAGCACATGGCAGGAGACGCAGAGACAGCTGTGGTGTCCCCAGAAGACTTTCTCATGAATAATAAGTTATCTTGACGCTACTTGTCAGTTTATACTGTTACAGTTTACAGCAAACCTGGTTTCGGCTCAGAACCGGCCACGGAAACACACTCTTTGGACTCTCTACTGACATTCTTTTGACTCCCTTTGGAAAAAACGTTGCCTTTTTTACCATACGCTAGTCAAAAACAATAACTTCAGGTAAGTCTTAAATGTTTCCCAAATATAACAATGATTACTTTACAGGAACACAGGTTGTCTTTGTTTGTTGCTTACCTTGTATGCTGCCCCTCCATGTATAATGGATTTGATGAATATTCCCAGGTCCTCTCTCCGGTCTCCCTGGACTTGTTTCCTTTGAGGCTGATGCCCAGGCCTGCCGAGCCGGTATCATTAAGAGGCACCTCAAACATGAGCTGCTCCTTACCGCTCTCCAGAACAAAGCCAGTCACACGGGACAATTCGTCCTTCTGGGAGCGAGGGGGAAAGTAATGGAGGTAGAAACAGGGTGAGGAGACAGAGGTCAGCTCATTGGGCGAGAATTGTCTCCAAAAGCTAAACTAAAAGCTTTTCCATTTGAGAGAAACCATCACAAGGAGCTTTTCAGCTAAATTCAGAGTGAAAAATTGCAGCAAGAGTCTATTTTCGAAGGAGAGAGAAAAAAGCCATTTGGACTGTCTGCTTTTATTTCCACATGTTTTCTTCTTTTAGCTCGGCAATATCAATAAGATGACCTGTGCATTTTCAAGAGGTAATTGGAGAATACAGCAAACACAGAGAGCCAGAGAGACACAAAAGTACTGCGAGCAGAGGGAATATGGAGAATAAAGAAAGATTGGACAACAGACAGAGAATAAAAGACAGGCTTTTGTAGATAAAAATGTATTTTATAAAACCCATATAGATGGTGGAAAACACCATATCATCAACAAGGAAGTATGGCAGTAATGACTACGTCTGAGAGAAGTCAGAAACAAAGAACGCAAGTGTATCCCGCCAGATGAAAGTGTGTGGTTTGAAGCATTCGATGGTTATGTGGATAGTACTGTTGCACTACACATAGATTTTACTTTCTTAAGATGTTGCAAGTATTCATCAAAACACTATTTGAAAAACTCAACAAATGTATGCTTATTTGTGAAGCCTTAGATTTCAAAAATATTAAAATAGTTCAGTCGTCATTCTCAAATATAAGCTAGTCTACCATTAAAACAAAGAATAATAAGTAAATGGTGCACCAGAAAGAAAGACACAGCAATGAAAGAAGCTTTGCGTGATAAAAATATACCTTGTTGTTATTAAAAAATAATTGCAAGAATGTTTTAGACTTTGACTATCCCTGGAGACAGATTGTCACTTATGACAATTTGCTAAGATCGAGATGGATTGTACCTTTTTAAAATGTAATGACAGGTATTCATTGAAAACACTGAGCACTCTAAAAAGCATGTCTTTCTGTAAAACCTTGGATTTCAACCGTTAAAGAATAGTTTGGTTCGGAAGAATTTATCATATGTTGACCATCCACAGAGACAGAATGTGCATTTGATTATATATGCTAAATAGCAAATGATTAATGGAAATCTAACGAATTGACTGGAGAACGTTTAGAAGGCAATGCATAGGTAATGGGCTAAAGTGTGTCCTGTCTATGATCAAGAATATCCAATACTGGATGATGTATTACATTACATACATTAACTTAAAGGGGACCTATCATGCAAAATGCACTTTTTGATGTCTTTTATAGATAAATATGTGTCCCCGGTGTGTCAGGGAACTCACGCAGCGTCAGAAAATAAAACCCTCTCTTTTCCTCCGTACCCAAATCTCTAAAAACGGGGGTACTTACGGCAGTATTTAGTTTAGACCAGGCCTATTCAAATGGCGGCCCGCGGGCCAGATGCGGCCCAGAACCAACTCCCAAGTGGTACAGACCATGAACGCGACACTCCGTGTTGCCTAGAAACCACCAAACCACAATGCAGCGCGTTTTTTGAAAGTGCATCTAGTGGTGCTAGTAACGGTGGTCCTATGATAGCAACTCTAAAACATGTCTCTCTCAACTCTGAAGCGTAAACAGAGACAAAACGGTCATTGATCTTGTGGAGCAGATGCGCGCATTCCAAGTCAAGCTGGACCTTTTCCGCGACCGACTTGAGCACGGGTCGGATGCTGCCTTTTCCGACGCTCCACAAACACATCACATCCCCGGCACAAATCACGGATGACTTCATTGCGAGGTTGAGAGAGAACTCGATTGGACTTGCTCTGCCCACAGAGGTGATGTGGCTTTGCCAAGAGACCCCTTCACTGTTGCAATAGAGGGGGGACGTATCCACCAAAGCAAAAGAGGTGGTCCCCTCCATTGATGAGGGGAAATGTACACTGGAACTTATTGATATGCAGTCATCCGTAACCATCAACATACACATGTGAATTAAGCTTTTCACACATGAACTTAATACAAAGTAGCACTCGCTGCTCCCTGACTGACAGCGCTCTTCACCAATGTCTTAGGATTGCATCCTATGAGCCAAAAATCTCTGCTCTTGTTCAAAACTAAAAATGCCACTTCTCCCATTGAGAAAGTCAACGATGACAAATCACAATTGAGGTGATAGTAAGCACCTACTATACTTAGACGTGTAGTGTAGTATTCATTCATATGTTATACCCTTATCCCTTGTTATGGCCTTGTGCACTGAAGGGTTTGACAGTTATTTGTGTATTCATTTAAATGCACTTTGTAATGTGTCTGGGTCAAATGTGACCAAAACATATGATTGTGTTGTTATTACTTGAAAAGTGAAAAAATAGTAGGCCTATTGCTACAGTACTACCTCTTTTTGTTACATTGGAGCTCTTTAACTGTTTGTTAATGCACTCTTTGATGTGCATGTATCCAATTTTATTTTGTATGTATGAAGACATTTATTAAGACTGCTATTATTGTATTCAGTTAAATGCACTTTGTGATGTGCCTGGTTCAAAAGAATAACCTGAATATTTTACTTCTAAAGCAAACAAATGTAATGCTACAACTGTGCACTTATTGTTTTGTATGCACTTTGAGATGCCTCAGATTCTGTTAAATTAATGCTAATTCGTTGTGCTGAATGTCTGAATTTTGTAGTTATAAAATCTGGCCCAACTGAATTTGAAATGTAATAGCCCTGGTTTAGACAGTAGCTGCTGGGTCCCGCATCAGCTCAGCCCCCTTCTTTTAAAAATAAAATAAAAATGTCTTTCTTTTTTTAAAGCTTTATACCCAAAATCAGCACTTTTCAGGGTTCTTACACCTTTTCCAAAGTCAAATTCAAGCATTTTCAAGGTGCATTTTCAAGCTTTTCATGCATCTTACAGCTGTTGTAAATTACATATTTTATATACACATACTCAAATGATTATTTCCCTATCTCACATTAAATCAGATGTTCTTTATGCTATAAACAAACAAATGTGTGTTTCATAATGCTCTACTTGAGGATGAAAAACTTTGAAAAAAGTTTAATATTTCAAAATGAGTGACCCATCTGTATGTCCCATATAACCTGTCTGAGCCAATATAAAACAATCAGCCAAATCACTTTTCAATACATTATTGATCACTATTTTTGAGGTACTTTTAGGTTGGCAGTAAACACAAGTCAGAGGTACATGGTGTACTTCTACTCCACTACAGTTCAGAGGTACATGGTGTACTTCTACTCCACTACAGTTTAGAGGTACATGGTGTACTTCTACTCCACTACAGTTCAGAGGTACATGGTGTACTTTTCCTCCACTACATATTTAATACCTTTAGTAACTTCACAGATGTGGATGAATGATGTGAAATATAACCACGTGTTAAATCAGACTTTAGTTCCACCTGGAGTAAATCCACAAGCTACCCTGCAGTATACAAAGTCATTCAAACTAGCTGCACCTTTACCAGCTTTGAGAACACTTTCATGATCAATCATTAGAAAACATATCATATATATTATTCTGAAATGGACCAATCGGCACAACGACTACTTTTACTGTCGCTACTTTAACTATATTTTGATGAGAATACTTTTCTACTTTCACTTGAGGAACATTTTGAATGCAGGACTTTTACTGTCACAGAGTATTCCTACACTCTGGTACTTCTACTTTTGCTAAGTACAAGATCTGAGTACTTATAATTTCACTACAAGATCTGAGTACTTGTACTTTTACTCAAGTACAAGATCTGAATACTTATTCCACCTCTGGTAGCGTATTAGTCTGAATTGTAGCCACAAAATCACACAGAGCTGCATAAAAATAGCCTCACAATGGTAACAAGTGGAAAATAATATTTACAAATGTGTACAATGATTTGTAGGTAATGCTGACTACTCAAGACACCTGACTTATACATCTGCAAAGGAAGACTGTGTTCATTCTACAATTACATGGGATTAAAGCAAAATGTAGTTTTACTTGTATAATACTTCAATTTTATATAAAACACAGTTTGTTTTCATCTGTTTTCAAATAAACAAAGTCTTGGCTTTCAGAATATTAAACTTGTTTCGGCAAATTCAGATGATAAATACAACTTTGAAGCTTCGGCATAATTACAAGCAGAGAACGGACTAATGTAACATCACAGCAAGCAACAGCCGGTGTTTCTCGTGAGTGTTTCCCCGGCACACACACACACACACACACACACACACACACACACACACACACACACACACCACACACACACAACACACACACACACACACACACACACACACACACACACACACACACACACCACACACACACACACACCACACACCACACACACACACACACACACACACACACACACACACACACACACACACACACACCACACACACACACACACACACACACAACACACACACACCACACACACACACACACACACACACACACAACACACACTACACACACCACACACACACACACACACACACACACACAACACACACACACACACACACACACACACCACACCACACACACACACACACACACACACACACCACACACACACACACACACACACACACACACACGAGCTTCCCCCAGACCAGTAATACAAACGAAATGTGTCTTCGGGTCAATGTGACTGATTTCGAGGAGAGCAAGTACATTTGGTTTAGGCACGAAACATACTACCAGTAGAAATACATTGCTTTTCAAAATCGCTCTGTGTCGAATCAATAGATTATATTCGTGACTATAACACAAAATGCCGTGAGAGCTTCATCCTCTGAACACCACAGGATGGCGACTGTAACGCACATATTAACATAGGTACGCTCCTCTGAAATGATTGTCCCCTGCAATTATTATTATCCCTCAATCGAGTTCGCTATTCAGCTAGCTAACGTTAGCTTAAACAAACGTAACATGCAACGTTAGCCTAATCTAAAATGCTCTTCTACGGCGTACCTTTCATGTGGCTCGTCAGCGC